GCCATATCCCTCAAATATTGAGTGTCTAGTTTCTTTCGAATAGAATAATCCAAGCCACCAGCGGCCATTTCGACTAACTCATGTTCAGGCACTACTGTGTAACATCTGGATTTCAAAAGCCTAAATCTATTCAGATAATCATCTATGGGTTCGGTGAACTTTCTCTTAACACTGGCCAATTCCTTCAAACTTATTTTCGACTGTCCCATGTAAAATTGTTCATGGAATAATCTCTCTAAGAGAGCCCAAGTGTCAATGGACCCAGGAGGCAAAGTGGTAAACCATGTGAAGGCGTTTTTGGTCAAGGAACTTGGGAAGTATTTGATCCTGAGATCTTCATTATTGGCTATATCTCCCGCTTCGGTTAGATATCTCGCTATGTGTTCGACTGTTGACTCATTGGTATCCCCAGCGAACTTTGTAAATTTAGGGACTTTATATCCCCTTGGTAAATCAGTATGCATTATGCAATCCAATATAGGAGAAGCATAATTTGGCCTTCTCATTCCTGTGTTGAGGCCATTCTGGGCCATGACTCTCTCTATCATGGTGGTTAAGTTGTTTTCTGCCAAGATGTTATCGTTTCGAACTCTATGAACGACAGCATCAGCATCTTGATTTCGACCAACCAAAACAACTCCCCTAGGTTGTTCTTCTCGAAACTCTGGGGCTTCTAGCCTTTCGACCCTTGCCCCTGGTTCCATAATTTCTCTTTGTGGACCCGGGATTATTGGGGCTTCTAACCTTGGTGCCCTGGCCCCCAAGTTAACTTCTTCTCTGGGTGGTCTATAAATTGGGTCGTTAGCAATTTGTTCTATAACAGGCATGTTTGCTCGAAATCCCGCCTGATTCTGCCTACGCCTTTCTGGGGGAGCAAAGAAATCTGCTATTCGACTCATATTGTCAGCGTTTTCTCTGTTTGTCACAGTCACATTTTGCACTATTGGGGCAAATATCTCCTGCGTGGTTTGTGCTAACACCCCTATCATATTATGGTTACTGTCATCCATCAATTGCCTAAAAGCCAACTGGTTGTCTGTGGTTAAGATATGCATTGTGCTATAACCCACTGACCCTTGGTTATTTGTCATAAACTGATTCGCCCCAGACCCAGACCCTAGTTGTGGGGATGAATTCGATGTGGAATTGTGTAAACCTGCCATAAAAGATGTTGGCATTCCATAATAGGAGTTTCTGGTTCTATTTCCATCGAAACCGGGTGGTCTAGTTAATGGAGTGGCGAAATGGGATTGTGTCCCTGATGGTGGAACGAATCCCCCAGGGTAACCAATGGTTCCAGTATTTCCTAAGATCGAACTATTAGTTTATATGCCACTTACTCCATTGGTGGCTACGTTACTGGTTGAAGATGCAACAGACTGTGCGTTCGAAGGGATTACATTAGATGTTCCGGTCGAAGTGGACGCATTAGTGCCTGTTGTATGTGAGCCATTTTGGTCCCCTTGTTGATTGTCAGAATTAGACATTTTGTCCAAACGTTTTCTTCTGGATAAAGGTTGGTTGCTGTTGGTTATCTTACCACTTCTCAGGTTCATAAAACAGCAAACTTCTTAGGTTCCAATGTTTTTTGTAATAGTTATGTCTCAACAATCTTTATTTCTAATATCCAATTATTGGTCCCACCGGGTGTGCCAATTTGTTTCCAGTGATTTCTGGTAAACAACCGCTAGTCTTCCAAACTATCGAATAATCTTTCTTACTGTTATTCAATTCCTCTGGTAACTCACAGGATCGACTAGATTGATCCTAGGACTCCTTGGATATTAAGGTTACTCTCACGATCGAACAGATATTCATGATTGATGTTGTATATGCGTTTGGCTTATTTCGATTTCTCTCTCTAAAAGTCTAAAGATGTAATCAAAATGTGTGTGTGAAACTAAGTTGCATGAGTAAATATTAATTGTAAAGACATGTGAGATTGCATAAAAGCCAAGTAAATGGTTTCGAATTACAAAACAGTTAACGTAAAGGATTTCTGGAACGTAAAAGGTTTGAAATATGAAGAAAGTGTTTAATGCAAGAAATCTGTAAATGACTTTAAGTAAAAATATGCGTTCGAAGGATAAGACTTGAAGGTAAAGGTATGGAAAATATGACAGTTTTCTGAAATATAAATTGCTTGAAATGTAAAGAAAGCATTAAAATGTAAAACTTTGAAGAAGAGATTTCGAAGTGAAAAGACTGTAAATGAGAAAACTTGTAAATGCCATTTGACAAAAAGATAAAGGAAAGTGCTGGGAATGGTAAAAGGTTTTCATTAAATCAGAAATACATGGTGCTATCATACATACATTTCTCTTGCATTCGTTTCCCTTGCCATTTGGTAGTTTGAATGTTACTGAGTATTTTGTATAATAGATATGACACACGAAATCCTAATACTAAGACTTCTATTTATACTAATTCGACCATAACGGTCTTGCTATAGGATCATGCCACGTTCAGAACATGCAGATCAATGCCTCTTTCTTCTTTCCACGTATCCCCAAATGCTTCAGCACATAAACTTTCAAACTTCGAATGTCCCGCTTCCATTTGAATTTCAAATGCTTTGGTACTTCTCCGTTTCGAACGCTCTTCCCAGACACAGCCTTGTTGTTATTTCGAGACTTCTTTAGATATGTTCCCATAATTGCCACTCGAAGCTCCAAGCTTTGACATACTTATTCGAAACACTGCTTCTGCTACTTCGAAACATGACGCTTTACCTCATTTCGATCGAAACGTTTAATTCATTTGGCTTCTAATATCATTATCAAAATCTTCAGCCAACACATAACTAGTTCTTCTCTTCTTCTATAGTTGACGCAAGACACTAGTGATCAACTATGTTGATTTTGACCTTGAAGGTTTTATTTTCTGCCAACGGTGTTTCCTTATTAACCTCTCATCAGCATGATATACCTTCATTTGATTCTTCTCTAGCTTCATGTTGAAGCCTTTTGCAAGTAATTGACCTACACTTATCCAGTTACTTGTCATTGAAGGTACGCACAACACATTAGTGATGGTGGCTATTCAGCCATCCTTTCTGATAACAAAAATATCTTCTTTTCCACTTGATGTGATGTGCCTGCCATCTACAAACTTTATCACCTTTTCGACTGATTCATCTATTTTGGAAAATCAGTTTTTATTACCAGTCATGTGGTTGCTGCATCTTGAATCCAGGTACCATATGTTGGTTTACTCAATGTTCGATTGAGTGTTGACCATCAACAATACATTATCAGAATCATTATCTCTAGCTCGTGCATATTGAGCTTCATCACTACCTTTCGCCCTTGCTTCTTTCTTTTTTCGACAGTCTCGAGCATAGTGACCAAAACCTTGACAGTTGTAACACTGCACCTCATTCATGTCAACTTTCTTCCAATAATACTCATTGCTCATGCCTTTCTTGGTTGAATCGGTATTCTTGCTTGACTTCTCAATTCTCATCACTAGCAATATTCTTTCGCTGCTTCGACTTCTCTTTTCCATATTTCTTGATGAATCTTGCTGGTAGTGTTTGTTTAGCCACATTCTCTCTTTCTGAGTTTCTCTGCTTTAACCTCATTTCATGTGCCTCTAAAGAAGCTTGAAGTTCTTCTAACTCCATCTCAGAAAGAGTTTTAGACTCTTCGATTGACACTACAATGTAATCAAAATATGCAGTTAGAGATCTCAACACTTTCTCAATCTTCTACAAATTCGTGAACGATTCACCACACTCCTTCATCTGGTTTGTTAACAACACAATTCTTGAGAAGTATGTCGAGACTGATTCATCTTCTTTCATCTGAATCATCTCGAATTGCTTTCTCAATGTCTGCAACTTCACTTTTTTCAATTTATCATCTCCACAATACAAGTTCTTTAACTTGTCCCAAGCTCCTTTTGTCGTTTCCTCTTCAATTATCTTTTCAAACACGTTAGGATCCACACACTGGTGAATCAAGAACAAAGTTTTACCATCTTTCTTTCTTTAATTCTTGTGCGCAGCTTTCTGAGCATCCTTCGCATTTGCCTCCAATTCCGACACTCCATCATTCAAGATTTCAACAACATCTTGAAATCTGAAGATAACTTTCATTTACACAATCCACTATTGGTAGTTTTCTCCTTTGAAAACCGATAGATTCGCTGGAAATTGCGTTGAAGTTGTTGTTCCGTTTGCCATTAGATTCTCTTTGAATCACAACCCAAACTATTTGATACCAATTTGTTGGAACAAAATTTTTTTCAAGAAAGATGAAGGAGAAGTAAGAGAGAAGAGACAAAACTATATTGAATATTTTATTTCTGTTATCAGTGTAGTGTCAAATTACAACATACAATATCATTTATATAGGCTACTAAAACCCATATCCAAAATATATTTCGACACACATCTTAAATGTTGTATTCAACTATATCAAATACAACTAACTTTTATAACTTCTACTAACTAATTCAAACCTCCAACTATACATTTCCTAATACAGAACATATCTTATCATTTCAATCGGATGATCAAATATGTTCTAAATGCAATCCTAATGCAGAATTGCATGTAATTTTGAATGTATGCAATATAGATCCATTTTCAAGAGAGAAAAAAATGAAGCCGCATCAAATACTATAGCGAGAGTTAGTATGTGATTAAAACATGAATTCCTATATATTTTAAAAAATTAATCAAATAATAAAAAAACTGGTTTTAAGTATACCTTTGTCAAAAAGAAGAAAAAGTAGTATACTATACGGTTACACCGCGAAGAAACAAGGCCCTACGATATTTTGCCTCTTTTTGGAGGTCCTTCTTTTCATGAAAGCCTACATGTACTATCTTTTTCCCTCTTTTATTTAACCTACAATACAATACAATATTCGTTAGTGCCTCGATGCCTTTATTCTCTGCTTTTTAATCGTTCCCATCAGTTTCAAAGTACCCTTTCACCCTTATTCATCTCCTCTCTAACAAACTCTCTTTCTCTCTTTCATCTTCAACTCAAATGGCTTCATCAGAGACACAACCTGAACAACCTCCACAACATCCCAACTACAAGGTAACACTCTATCTCTTTCACCTCTTACTTTCAATTCATTTCTTTCCAATCTTGTGACTCACACTTTCTCTTTCCAGACAATTGTCTTGAAGGTCTCCATTCATTGCCAAGCCTGCAAGAAAAAAGTCATCAAAATTCTTCAAGGCATATACGGTAATTATTAATTTTCTTCTTCTTCATCATTTTTTTTTTGTATTTAAATTTATGTTTATTATACATTCCTCTTGTAATCTATAGGTGTTACTAGCGTAACCATTGATTTGAAGCAACAAAAAGTTATAGTAACCGGGAACGTTAGCAGCGATGTTTTGATCATGAAATTAACCAAGACAGGGAAGCATGCTGAGTTATGGCCTGAAACTGAACAAGAAGCAGAACCAAAACCAACCGATGTTAAAAAGAAGAAGCAGAGAAAACCAGAGAACAAAGAGAAAGAAATCGATCCAGAAACTGAAGACAGTGAAGAAATAGAAATCATTCAGACCAGTGAAAACAACAATGAAACAGGTAAAATTAAAGTTGATGATACATCAAAAAAAGTTGAAGTTAACGGAAGCACTCCTAAAAAAGGAAATGGAGGCGGTGATGTAAACGGTAGTACCGCTAAAAAAGGAAATGGAAGCCGCGAGGTTAACGATAACAGTAACAGATCCAAAGAAGGTAACGCAACCGCAACCGCAACCGGTAAACCCGGTGTAGTACACGTTCAACACCCGAATCCAGAAGTGAGGAAGCAAACAGTTGTGTTACCGGCTGGACCGGTTCCCGAGAAGAAAGTTAGCGTCGCAGTGCAATTTCCTTGTGAGAACAATGAAGAAGCATCGATATATGAGAAAACCGGTTCAACCGGTGGTACTAGCAGTGAAGTGAAAAAGAAGAAAAAGAAAGGAAAAGGTAAAGTTAATACTAACAACAACGTTCATGAGAGTGTTGTTGAACAGTTTGGATTTGGTGATGCTTCGGGTACTGGTGGTTCAGGTAACCGGTCACACGGTGAAGGTCAAAATAATTTTCATGATCAAGTACATCGAGGTTCAGTTCCAGTTCAAATTACACCCAATGAGCTTCCGCCACGTCATTATACTAACCAACAATATTTTCCACCTCAGTACTATGCTTCTCCGGTTTATACCGTGAGCCATCACACAGCGTATCCTAGCAATAGTAGTTACGGTGCAGCGTATTATGCGCCTCCGCAACCTTATCAATACGCGCATGTGGTGAATCCCGTTAACGAGATGGAGGATCAACCTAGGCCGTACACGTATGAATCATCGGAAACGTATAGTTCATCACAACCGTCCGATTCGTTTGTTTATTTTAGTGATGAAAATCCTAATGCGTGTAGTGTGATGTGATTTGTAATCATTCTGTTGGAACATACAACTTGTATGGGGCATGGGAGAATTTTGTAATGGTGTAGATAAGAATCAGAGGAAAAGCTTAAAAAGAAAGAAAGAGAAGAAAAATATTAGTTTGTTTGGTTTGAATGGATGGAAAGTTGGGTAGAATCATGGAATTCTGGGTGTTTACGGCTTTTGATCAGTGGTTGTCCTGGACTCTCATGATATGTATCAAACTAGGACAATATAGTAAAATTTTAAAATTATTGATCTTGCGTCTTCCTTAATTTTACTTTACTATTGGGGAATATTTTTTCTTGATTTTTCCATGTGGGATTTACACATGAGATTCTTATCATTTAAGTTTATCATTCCTTTTTATTTTTATGTTTCTTTCATTTTAAATGCTAGAAGTTCTACGTTACACTCTATTCGTGAGAGCGGCCATTCCTCCGGTGTTTTTACATGCACATGATTGTTTTGAAAAGAAAAAAAATTGATCTTTTAAAGTTGAATATTTATTCAGATTTGTGTAATTAATCACGACATAATTCACCAAAATTTTTAATAGATAAAATATTGTGTTGAAGCATTTGGTAACTTGCATGGCAAATTAAGCATGTTCATAATCTCGTTGAACTCATGGACTCCAATATGGATCATGTTACCTTAGTCTAGACACTATAGAGAAGCATATTCATGCATAAGTTAGTTATGATTCAGTTAGAGGTTGTTAGATGATGATTTTTTATATAAACACTCAATGTAACTTGTCATAAGTTAGTTATGGTTCAGTTAGAGGTTGTTAGATGATGATTCTCTATATAAACATTCAATGTAACTTGCCATGATGAATGAGTTCAATCATTTTCTTCTATCTTTTTTAAGTGTTTTACATTCATCTTCACTATGTTTAACACAAACTGTTAAATAGTATAATTTTTGTTTTGTCGAAGTGCATAAGTGTATGTCAAATAGTTAGTGCTGATAGGTTATCAGCTGTATTCGACTCTATCGAATACATCAGTTATTGTAGTATGTCGAAATATAGTTTTGGGCTAAAGATGTATATAGTCGAATTGGGCTTGGGCATTGTATGTCTATACAAAGGGCTTGTTAGTTTGTAATTTCAACAACAATCAATGCAATCACAATTCAGTTAGAATCGTAACAAACTTTCAATCTCTCTCTATCTTCTTCTTCTTCTTCTTCCTCTTTCATAAATCATCTTTCTTGAAAACCATTTGTTCCAACAAATTGGTATCAGAGCCTGGTTATTGCACCTTATACACCTCAGCATAATGAATATCTGAGAGAAAGAATAGAAGTATACTGAACATGACAAGATGTATGCTGAAAGCTAAAGATATGCCTAAGAGATTTTGGGCTGAATCAGCTTAAACAACAATATATATTCTAAACAGGTGTCTAACAAAGAAGATGGTTGGAATAACACCTTATGAGACTTGGACAGGCTCAAAGTCAAATGTGAGTTATTTTAGAGTTTTTGGATCAATGTGCTTCAGGCATGTACCTGACCAATTGAGAAAGAAGTTGGATGATCGAAGTGAGATAATGGTGTTTATAGGTTATCATTCGACTTGTGCATACAAGTTGTATTCGCTAAACAAAGATAAACTAGTGATAAATCGAGATGTTCTTGAGGATGAAAGCAAAGGGTGGGACTGGAGTCAATGTTTAGTTCGACAGGAGTCAGACACAGTCACAACTATGTTCGAAGAAAATCAATAGGATGAGGCTTCAACGAGTCGAAATGAATAAGGTGATGCTTCAACTAGTCAAAATGAAGAAGCACATGTTCAGAATGAAAGAAGGTCGATAAGAACAATAACTGAGTCGACAAGGCTAGCTGAATAAGAAAGATTTCCAGATCAAGCAGTTGATGCAGATGGTGATCTAATCGAAGAAGTCGTGATGATGGCTGAAGCAGAACAAATTAACTTGAATGAAGCTATGAGTAATTCGAATTGGTGTGAAGCCATAAAAGAAGAACTCATAGGTATTGAGAAGAACAAGACCTGGGAGCTTGTCGAAATAACTCATAAGAAGCCAATCGATGTAAAGTGGAGCTACAAGGTGAAACGAATGCCAAATGGTGAGATCGCGAAGTATAAAGCAAGATTGGTGGCGAGAGGTTTTCTATAAAAACCTGGTATCGACTTTGACAAAGTCTATGCGTCTGTTGCGAGGCTAGAAATAATCAGAAATGTTGTTTTGACTGCAGCATATAGAGGATGGAAGATACATCAGTCGGATGTAAAGTTATCCTTTTTGAATGGTCCATTGGAAGAAGAGGTCTATGTTACTCAACCACCGGGATTCAACATCAAAGGGCAGGAGTCGAAGGTTTATAGATTAAGGAATACTTTCTATGGTTTGAAACAAGCTTCTAGAGCTTGGAATAAGAGAATAGATAACTTTCTGATCAAAGTAGCTTTCACAAAGTGTGTCTATGAACATGGAGTGTATGTAAATGATATCAACAATGTCAGTCGAATCATTTTATGCCTCTATGTTGATGACTTACTCATTACTGGAGCAGACGAAGCTGAGATAATGAAAGTAAAATCGAAACTAATGCAAGAATTTGAGATGTCTGACTTAGGGAATCTTTTATATTTCATAGGGATGGAATTCAAAGATACCGAAGAAGGAGCATTCTTGCATCAAACTAAATATGCCCAATATATATTGAAGAGGTTCAATATGAGCAACTGTAATGCAGCTGTCACTCCATTAGAAACTAGAGAAAAGTTGAAAAAGGAAACGAATGATGAGTTTGTAAGTTAGACCCTATACAAACAAATCATTGGATCCTTGAGATATCTTTGCAATACTAGACCTGATATTTGTCAAAGTGTCAGATTGTTGAGTCGATTTATGGAGAAAACCTAAGAGTGTCATCTCATTGCGGTAAAAAGGGTGTTGAGATACATAAAGGGAACAATTGATCATGGTGTGTTATTGCCAAAGAAGTCGAAGAACAACACAAATATCGAAGTTTATGGATACACTGACTTAGATTTTAGTGGAGGTCAAGACGAAAAGAAAAGTATTGCAGGATACATATTCATGATCAAAGGCGCTCCAATCTCTTGGAGTTCGAGGAAGCAAAGAATTATGGCTTTGTCATCATGTGAAGCAGAATTTGTGGATGCATCATGTGTTGCATGCCAAGCAACGTGAATCGAAATGTTACTTGAAGAACTCAAGATAATGAAACCTAAGAATATGAAGTTGTTTGTTGACAACAAGTCAATTATTGATCTGGCAAATTATCCAGTGTGTCAAGGTCGAAGTAAGCACATAGAAAAAAGGTATCATTTTATGAGGGATCAAGTCAACAAAGGGAAGTTGGAGATAAAGCATTGTAAGACAAAATTATAACTAGCTGATATATTCACCAAACCTCTGAAGAAATCCAGATTCGACGAGTTAAAGAGAAGCATCAGGATGAGAAATCTCGAGAATATGAATCAGGGGCGTGTTGATAGTGCAATTATTGTTCTATTAAAGTGCATAGGTGTATGTCGAATAACTAGTGCTGATAGGTTATCAGTTGTAGTCAACTCTGTAGAATACATCAGCTATTGTAGTATGTCGAAATGTAGTTTTGGGCTAAAACTGTATATAGTCGAATTAGGTTTGGGCATTGTATGCCTATATAAAGGGCTTGTTAGTTTTTAATTTCAACAACAATCAATACAATCACAATTTAGTTAGAGTCGTAACAAACTTTCAATCTCTCTATCTTCTTCTTCTTCCTCTTTCATAAATCATCTTTCTCGAAAATCCTTTGTTCCAACACAAACTTCATAATAGTATCAGAGCTCTTTTGAGCTATGCTGCACATCACTTCTTCACTATGGTTATGTTGGACAACGACGCCTTATCTAGAGGGGGTGAATAGATCACCAAGATAAAAAATACAGATAAAATTTTGGTTTTAAAAGTAATTGAAAGAGTGCACGTGGATAGTTTTCAAAAAGTGTCGTCTATAAGAACCAAACTATTGGAAGTCAGATATGCAAATATAAAACTAATTATGGAATGAACACTATAATATGGAATTTATAAACTTCAATCAAGTAACAAAGTATTAATCGTTTATAGCAAGTTACTAGCAATACTATTTCCAAAGGTAATTATCAAAAGAACAAACAAAACAATTTGTCGAACACTTGGTGTGCAACCCAATTTTTAGAATTTTCCATTTGAGTTGTGTTGATACAAAATCACTTATAATCAAAAGTGATTATAAGCAAATCAACACTTGATTCAAAACAAAAAAAAAGCCACAAAAAAATTCTTATGAATCGATCGATTACTCAATACTATTAGACAAATTAATTGATGAATATTAAAGAAAGTAAAGCAATAAGAAAAAGAGACACAAGGATTTGTTTAGGAAGTTCACCAATCGTCCTTGCTATGGCTACGTCTCCCCCCAATTCCAATTTTAGAATTAGGATAAATTCTTACTATGCAAAAAGTTGATACAAGAAAAGTGTTCCAAGAGAAATCCTACAAACCCTAACAGTTTGTTGTTGACTCAATCCCTTATCTTTTTTTGATCTTGAGAAAGACCAAGACATAATAGATCTCAATTGACTTGTCGATATTGCTACTCCTTTGCGCTCTTTATCTCCAAAGCTTTCACACACGATCAATTGTATCTATTCTACACAAGACTTCAATTTGATTCACCGTTGCCATGATACTTCCTTTGTGTTCTTTATCTCCAAAGGGTCCTTTACGTTATTTATCTCCAAAGGCTTTCACTAGGATGCAATCCTCTCTTGAACGTCTTGCACGAAAACCTCCAAATCAATCAACTATCTTTGAGGATAAACCCGCATTTTTTCTGAATGAAGACCCCTGCAAATCGCAACCCAACATTCTCGGCTACACAAGAACCTAATTGGATGTTATCAAAATTTGTCTAGATGGCACCCCAACAAAAAGATGATTATGTGTGATTTTTTAGTGTGTAT